TCATTGAGGTTAAAGTAAGGTGATTAGTTGCACTTAGTTTACAAAGCCACAAAATTTTGAGCGATGTCACGATGTAATACAACTATGTAGTGAAATTATAATCAAAATTAAATTTCTAATTAATATCTAATTATCTTAATTCAATTATAATTTGAGGTAACTAAATATGGCTTTTATAACAGCTTCTTAGATTATTTTTTTTATCTTAATAGTTAGTAAGTTGAAAGTTACTTAGTAATTTTACCTTCTAGGTTGTAGAGACTCTTTTATTACATTAGAAAGACCATAAATTAATAAAATCAGATTAGAAGAGATAAATAATTAATATAATTGGTACTAAGATTAAGTCGAGAGTAGGATTGGGCTAAAAAATCCTTAGGATAGGTTAGATTGATATCCAAGGTTTGGCCGTTTGTGAGACAAGGTCGAAATCAAACCTCTGGCCACTAAAATGATGGCCTAGGGCAAAATAGGGATTCATTTGAAGATCGGAGGATAGAGTTTGAAAGCTAGCTTGAAGTTCTTTCCAAAGGCATAAGGATTGTTTTTAGAATGTTTTTGAAGTCTTAGCAATTGTTGTTCAAAATTAGAGATTTGTATTGGTGATTTGGATTTTATATAATATAATTAGGGCTAGCAATTTTGGCTAGTTTGTGCAATTGGTGTAACATCTACAATTCAAAATTTGACACTATTTGGGTTATTGAGTGTACTAAGTGTATACAAAATTTTGTAATAATCTAATGGTGTGGTTTAGAGATATGTGATTTTTAGCATAAGAAGGTTTCAGAAGTTGGCAGTTTGAGGTTGGATAGGATTTCTATGATATCTAGGGATCTATTAATTGGATCAAGGTGAAATTTGGCATGGTGTTGAAGAACTTGAAGATCAAGCTGCACATTAATTTTGAGACAAAGTTAATTGTTGGAAAGGGAGAAATCACTATTGGAATTTTTGCTTCACTTTTCAAGTTGATAGTCGAGTAATATTAGTTCAATTTTTGGAATTTTTCTCACAATTTTAAGTTGGATTGGGCTAAAAGTTCTTGAGCATATAGAAGACTTACATTGACAATTGCATGAAAATTTTTATATCAAGTGGACCGTCAGATTGGATGTTACAACTTGTTAAAGCTCACTGATTAGGATCTAAATTGCTTAAATATGAAAGTAATAAGGTAATTGGGATTTATGTATAATTAAGGCTACTAAAAAGAGTGTTTTTAGCACTTTTGAATTGAAATTCAGATTATATTCTTCTCGTATAGGTGAAACCTATTAGGATTTCTTGGATACTTGTGAAACACAACATCATCTTCCATAGCTAGGTGCTCGGTGCATTCCCGAGCAAGAGAACATATAATACAATAGCGGGTGCCATCAAAAGTTTTTGGAAGGTTGATCTTTGGTTCTTTTATTGTTATTTTTGTCAGAACATTGCCTTGAGTGGATGCACCTCCTATGTTTGAAGTAAATATAATCATTTGAGAATTTGGAATCTTTGTTGTGATTTGATGTGGTAGTTGAGGCACTCCGATTTCTTGACCATTATGTATAGTCATATATAGTTCTTCATTTTGCTTCAACAAAGTCTTTGTCTTAATCCTCAATGCTTCAAGAGCGGTGTTAATAGAATCTAACTTGATCTCTTTTGAGTCTATCATATTGACTTTTCCACCTTCTACCATAGAAAATCAGAGAAATACATGCCTTCAAAAGAAAAAAACTTGATCTATGATATAAAAAAAAAAAAAAAAAAAAAAAAAAAAACCAAAAGAATATTAAGAAAAGAACAATATTAATCTAAAAAAGAGTAATCTACAACCTCTAGAATGCTATAGTACTTCCAAGAAGAGGGATAATCTACTCTCTCCCAAGAAAGACCAAGCTCCTAATATTTTTTTATGGTAGTCTCAATAAACTATTAGGGACCATATATAAGAGAGGGATTCAAGACCAAGAAATGGAATTAATTTGACATTAAAACAACAACTAGATACAAGGTAAGAAGATCCTAGCTAAACCACAAGAAGTGAGTTGTCGAGACTAAGGATCTCCTCTGCCTCAACTCCTATATGTACTAGGTCTTAAGAAGCTTTTTGAGAAGTTTTTATGAGGCTTGAAAATAAAGTAAGCCTAAGATCCTTCTTCAGAAACTTCCTAAATCATCTAAAGCCTCCTAGAACCTTCTAGGGCCTCCTATGATCTTCTAGAACTTTCTTAGAATCTATTGGAACCTTCCAAAATCTTTTAGAACCTTCTAAAACCTTCAAGAGCCTTCTTTAAATCTATTGGTACCTTTTAGAACCTTTTGGAAACTTTTAGAACCTTCTAGAATTTTTTTTTGTTGTATGTCCGTGACATTACTTATGAGCTTTGGTGAGGCTCAAATTCTTAATCTTTTAAGTAAGTTACCTTCAAGATAAAAATTAATTATTTAACTTTTTATTATTCATATTTTTTAATTTAAAATATTATAATTTATTTATAATATTTTTAATTTAAAATATTTTTATATCATTAAAAAGATTAAAAAATACCTATCTAAATTTTTTAATTTTATTTTTTACTTTTATTTTTATTAAATAAGAATCTAATGAATAAATTGTAACTAGTTTTATAATGTATAATTGTTCGATTAAATTTATATCACTTATTTTGAATTTTTTTATTTTTTTTTAATTATGGCTACTTCTATTTTATACCATCAATTACAAAAAACTCTTAATTGAGGCCATTTTGTAATTTGAGGTGTGGGATGAATTTTACCTTTACATAAATAATATGTTTTCCAAGAGATGGAGCTCAAGAAAAAATTGAGTATTTATAAGGCTATAAATTTCATGTGAAATAATTTACAATGAGAGATTGCTATAAATTTTATAGTTGTTAATTTATTCATACTAATAAAAAATTCATCTATCCACATTCATTAGTACAATAAATATATGATAGCTTTAAAATTAAGCTTTTTTATTTTATATACATAGCTAAATATATAATTTATAATCTCTTGAATGCATAATCTTTAGATGTTGATGAATTTATATATAAGATTATAATACACATACAAAGTTGGAGGTTTATCTTTCTTGCTTAAAATAAGATTTGTAAGCCAGCCTCAAAAAAACCTTCATAACTTATTATATTTTATAGTTTATGCTTTCTATATTTTCTTAGAATATTAATAATTTAGCACTTATTTTGTATTACATATACATACATTTTTTTACAAGCCTTTCAACTAATCCAACCAATTAATATTTTAAATATGTATAAACCAATTAAATAGAATAATTTATCTATTGTACATTAGCAAACTATTAAAATAAAGCTAGTATCTTTAATAAATTATATACTTTATTGACTCTTCTCCATTGCAAGCATCTTAAGATCTAATTGTATTAATCTTTCTTCTTTTTTAGAAGGATTTTTTTTTTCTTCTTCTCTTGGTTTTTGTTATTTTTTCTTCCTTGTAGTCAGTTTAATGGAATGGAAATATTATTAATTTAATCAAGTTCCTTACAAAAATACCATTTATATTTATTTTATATATTATCTTTATTTTATTTTATTTTATTTTATGTGTATTTATATACTTATCTTCTTTAGAAATTTCTTAATATATTAATTTCAAAAAGAAAGACTGAAGATAATTTATGAATAAAAATGAAGACATAATTTTTTTTTGATTTAGATGACAATTTTTTAATACAAGATCATTACTTTAAATAAAGGTCAATATTGTGTCAAAGATATATATTATAATATTTAAATTTTATGTTAATATTTTAATCAATTTTGCAAAAATAATATAAATGTATTTTACCTTGTTAAAGGTTGTAAAATAAAATTCTAAATTATGATTGTAAAGAATTAAAGACAAGTGACATAACTTTGTTCTAATGCTTAATTTGATTACTTTGATTTAATACAAAGAAGAATCATATCTTTCTTAAATGCACATCTTTGATATAATTATATTAAATATAAAATTTAAATCCTAAAAAGTAGCAAAGAAAATAGATAAAAATACTTCATTATTTTGATTAATGTTTGTAATGAGAGTATAAGTAATAATAAAGAATAAATATTTTGGTTTAATTTGTGATACCAAACTATACCATTTTAAGACAAAGAAAGACGTTTTTTATTTTAAATATTTTGGTTTAATGCGTGATACCAAAATATACCATTTTAAGACAGAGAAAGATATTTTTTTTATTTTAATGTCTAGCTAGTTACCAAGTTGTGACAATAAGAAGTATTGAAATATCCAAAAAATGGAGATAAGCCATTTGAAGGAAAAGAAGTCAACCAAGGAAGAAATATAAGCAGAACACTTAATTACTACAAATAATAGTAAAAAGTTCAATAATAATACTCCGTCCTTTCTTCTCTTCCTTGCCTTCCAATTTTTATAAGAAGTCATGAAGTAGACAAATGATTGACAATTTCATCTCTTTAATAACATTCTTCACTTTTCTTGATTAAGTGCAAACTTAATTACTTCCATATTGATACTTGCACTTTTTGAACCTATTGAACTTCATATTATTTAGGCATAAATACAAAATTTTATCAATAAAGTCCAATCCTTGGAGATGATACCTAAATCAACTCAACTAAGTAACGTTGACAAATTCAATCATTCCAATTGGTCCAATTTTCTTTTATTAAAAAAAAGAAAAAGAAAAGCACATGCCTTGTACAAAAAAATCATGAGCAATGCATTTATGCATATCAACAATAATGTTAACCTCCGTGAAGCCCATAAAAAAAAGCACATGTCACCTCCGTGAAGTGAGAACATAGTTGGGTTGTTCTCATGTTTGTTTACATTTGTCGTTATCCTTTCTTACTTTCTTTCTTTATTTATTTGTTTTCCCATCTCATATCGAAAATGTAAGCCTCCACTGATCACATCCTCCAATCAGTCAACGAAGAAGAACCAGACAGCATACATCAGTGTTCCAAATCAGTGTGCATCAGGGCACAGATTAGCACAGAACCCACAGGAAAAGACGAAGGGAGCATCGCAGAGACCCAGGGCCAGCAACTCAGCCAGCCAGTCAACCAACATCTGAGGCAGCAGCACCCTACTTACTAGCTATGGCTGGGCTGTTAATTTTGTGGTTGAGAACTGACGTGGCTGTTTCCTATCAAACCTGTACAATGGGGATCTGATCTCTTCTATGTAGAATTGGTCTCCACACACTCTCGACACTGACACAGCCTATCACCGCATCATGTGGTAGCGACCATTTGCCACTCACTCTCCCTCTCTCTCATTCATTCCTTCATTTTTTCTCCTGGCTAGACGATCTCTGCTGGGGTTGCATTTGAACGATTGCCTGAAATGGCCTCGGCTGTTGCTCCTTCCACTCTAATGAATGGAGTTTGTGATGTGGGTTATAGCCAGCGAGGGGCGTATGCCATACATGAATCTCTCAAGGTCGGTCTTTGCCTGAGTGGCCATGCAGATCTGTCTTGGTTTGATCGTCTGCTTTCTTCTGACTCCGACGTATGGCAACGTTTGAGGTTTCTAAGATCTTGGAGTGTGTGTGTGTATATATATATATATATATATATATATGTACACATAGACTTGTATATCTGTTGTGTGTCTGTGCGTTTGTTTCTTTTGGATGGAATGGTACTTCGACTGACCCTCGAGATTATGGCCGTTTTTGTCGTAGGCTTGGAGTAGTGAGGAAGCAGGGCTTTGGCTGACTCGTCCACATCTTGCCGCTCCAGATTGTGTGTTCCGCTTCTTCTTTCGTCATGCATGTCCTCCACAGATCAAGCATGATAGAAGAAGAAGCGGCTTACGCAATCTGGGACGGAGATGCATGAGTTCTGAGACCTTCTTAATCAGAATCTGTCATTATGTCATTCACTCTCCGAACCTCGGGAGTAGTGATACATCTTAGGGGAAGACGTAGGTGATGTTGTTTGAGGTCTAATCACTGTGTACAGTCAAATTATAATCTGGATCATCCTTCGTTGCGGTGTGCTTATTCTTCTTGGTGAATGTTCGCCGAATAAATTCGATTTGTGTTGAATGTATAGGACCAGATGTCTTTCAACGAAAGAATGCTGTCCAACTAAGCTGCCCTTGATACGCTTGGGTCGACCCTAGAGTGATGGGTTTCTCGTATCAAATGTTTTGCAACAACCTGGGAAGACTGCTAATAAGCTTCTGAATGCGATAATAGAACATCCGTAAATGTATAGAACCTTGTTAGCGCTGCACAAGTGGGCCCTGCAAAGCTTGGAATGCAGAATTGTGTTATTATGAGCGTCATAATCTCGGAGTAATCCTGCGAACTTAGTAAGACCAATATGCAGCAATTGCGAGCATTCTAAATGCACAAAGATATGATAGTGTTGTGCAAATGCATGCAGTGTTTCTAACCCGTAAAACTGGTAGCAGAATCCAAGTGTTGTCACAGTAGCGATCCCAACTCAATGAACTATTCTTCCGTAGGAGGTGGCAGATACCTCGAATTCTCAAAGAATATGTCATTGCAAATGCTGAGAGTGCGTTCGGCCCTCCACGAAATGCCTTTCCTTTCTATTAAAGGAAGGATGTCTTTCCTCAACCTGCTCTCTTTGGTAAAAGTCAATACTATCTCCCAAGCCGCCTATTTGGCAGCTGAGAGGGCGAAGGTGGAATAACCACATCAGGTCCAACTTCGCCCTACCCCACCTACAAAAGAAATTATGTATATTCGTACTTATTGGAAACCTACTGGACCGACGCAGGTGTGATGCGCGTGAAGTACTCGACTTCATGCTTGGCCCAGTGTCAGAAATGTCGCGAATGCTGACTGTGAGCATAACGCCCCACCTTCTTTTGATAACTCTTCAGGATTTCTTACTCTCAGATTTCGTCCCTTTCAAACCTCGGGTTGCAAGTTTGTTCGAGTGGATTTCGTTCTTCCATCTGTTCTAAACTTCACACTAAACAATACATCACTAGGAGCGCTTGCCTTAATTTCATGTCCTGCCGATGACTCTAGCATCGTAGATAATTTACTTCATGGTTATGCTGTCCAAGTACGTCTTCTTCTTTCACCGACGTACTTTGTAATTGTAAACCATGTGTAGCACTCTTTTCTAAAATTCTAAAATTCACTACCAACTAATATACTATTTTAAATTCGTGTGCAGAGGTATATGTGGTTTTAAAAAATGGCTTGTTGAAAGAAGACAAAATTAAGATCTCTGTTTTTGTTTTTTTAATTAGTACTGCTAACTCAATATACACCATCTAACATTCATATACAAAAATTGACAAGAATTGTCTTGATTGAATTATCATTGTAAATACAAAATAATTTTATTTTTGATTGTGCATAATTTTTAGAATCTACTATTTTTATCAAGTGCCATGGCCTTGAAATACCTAGATGCTATGCTCATTTCTAATAATGGAAAAATATCAAGTGATATTTTGAGCCAATATGAAGAATTTTGAGATGTTTTTAAAAAGAAGAATATAAATATTTTTTCAGAGCATCAATCTTAAGATTATTCAATTAATCTGTAAGAAAGAGCTTAACCACCATTTGGACCAATCTATAGCTTATCGCAAAATGTGTTGGCTGCATAAAAAGAGTATATAGATCAGAACTTAGCAAAGAATTTCATATGCCATTCTAAATCTCCAATCGGGGTTCTTATCTTATTTGTCAAGAAGAAAAACAGATCTTTGTAGATGTGTGTGGATTATCGAGGACTCAATAAGATCACCATCAAAAATGGATATCCTTTGCCTTTGATTTCAAGACTTTTTGACCAACTCAATCAAGCAAAGATCTATACCAAAATTAGATCTATGAAGAACATACAACTTAATTCGTATCAAAGAAGGAGACGAATGGAAGACTACTTTTCAAACTAAGTATGGACATTTTGAATATAATGTCATGCCTTTTGGACTCACAAATGCACCGGCCGCTATTCAACATTTTAAAAATGATGTTTTTCGTGAGTTTCTAGATGATTTTGTTGTTTGATATTTAGATGACATTCTAATCTACTCTAAGAATATAGAAGAATATGAGCTTCATGTTCATCACGTGTTACTTAAACTTAGAAATATAGGATTATATGCCAAGTTGAAAAAGTATATATTCCACACTACTCAAGTTGATTTTTTAGGATACATCATTTTCAATGAAGGCCTTATGATGGATCCCAAGAAGGTCAAAACTATCATAGATTGAAAGATTTCAAGAATAGTACAAGATGTGTAATGCTTTTTAGGCTTTGCTAATTACTATCAAATCTTCATCAAGAACTTTTCTCAAGTTACAGTTCCACTTACACATTTGACTTGTAAAAATAAACTTGAGTGGAATAAAGAAGTAGAAGTATCATTTGATGCTTTAAAGAAGGAGTTTACTTTTGCACCAATCTTGTATTGCATCAACTTCTTGAAGACATTTGTTTTGGAAACAAACGAGTCAAACTTTGCTATGTGTGCCGTGTTGTGACAAATGAGAATAGATGACAAACTCCATCTAGTAGCTTTTTATTCCAGAAATTTTTTAGGAGCCAAGATTAATTATAAGATCCATGACAAAGATCTCTTTGCAATCATAGATTCATTTTAAGAATGGCATCATTATCTAGAAGGTGCCTCAAGTCCAATCATCATGTATACGGATCATAAGAACCTTGAGTACTTCATGTCAATATGTGTTTTGAATCATTATCAAGCTTTTTAGAACATGTCTTTATCCAGATTCAATTTCAAGATTACTTATCAATTCGAAAAACAACAAGGTCTATCAAATGTCCTTTCTAGATGTTCTTATCTTATATCAAAAGAAAGAGATGCATCTTTTGATCAATAATAAATGATTCTCTCGAAGCTCAAGCATTTTCATCTTCAAGTAATAAAATCAACATTGAGTGTTGATTCAACCTTTATCAAGCAAATTCAATCAAGTATGTCCTCTGATCTTTTTATTTATGATATCAAGAATACTTTCTCTAAATCTTATGACACTTCAAATTTTGAGTTCAAGAACAACCTACTATATTTCAAAGATTACTTATATATTCTAGAAGGTAAGGCACGATTACGTATCCTTCAAGCTTATCATGATTTTTCAGCAGCTGGAGATTTTAAATACAAGAAGACTTTAGAGGTAATATTAAGAGATTTTTGGTGGCCTCAAATGTGGAAGGCAGTCAAAGACTTTTTACAATCATGTGATACTTGTTCAAGATCCAAAAATACCTGGCCATAGACCTTATGGACTTCTTCAACCATTACCAATTCCAAAACAATCATAGTCTTTTGTTTCTAAGGATTTTATCATGGATTTTCTAATCTCATATTCATATAAGTCCATATTTATATTCATAGATCACTTCACCAAAATGGCATATTTTGTATTATATATAAAATTTATTTCAAGTGAAGAAATAGCTAAGCTTTTTATGGACAATATCTATCATTATCATGGATTGCCAAAAGATATTATATTAGATAGGGGGACTCAATTTGTATCAAGATTTTGGAAAACTCTATTCAAGATTCTAAAGGTGGATATAAAGCTTCTTTCAGCTTTTCATCCTCAAACTCATAGGCAAATGGAATGGATGAATCAAATTTTGGAACAATATTTGAGGTGTATCATCAACCATCATCAAGATGATTCGACAATTCTTTTGCCATTAGCAAAGTTTGTATACAATAATTTGATACATTCTTCTATTCAACAAATATCTTTCTTTGTTAATTATAGTTATCATCCACAATTTGATACTTTTGACTTTTAAAAGTTGATAATCCTATAGCAAAAGATTTAGCAAATCATTTGTCAAAGCTATATGCAACAATGAAGTTACAATAAAAAAAAAAAACTCAAGGATGGCAAAAGACCAATGTGGATGCCTTTCGCAAGAAGCAACCACAATTTAACATACATGACAAGATATAGTTACTTCATCGCAATATCAAGACTATCTATCCTTGTGATAAGTTAGACTATTGTAAGTTGAGACTTTTTTATTATTTGTGAACAAATCAATCCTATTGCTTATCAATTATATTTACCAGAGGCTATGAAGATCCACCTTCTATTTCACATGTCCTTTCTTGAGCCGTATAATTTAGTAAATATTTTGAGAAGACAAATGCCACTTCTTTCTATAGAAGTGGATAATAATCAAGAGTTCGAGGTGGAAGAAGTCTTAGATTCAAGGCAGCATTGAAATAGGTTGAAATATCTTGTTCATTGGCACGGATATGGTATTAGTAAACACACATAGAAGCCATAAAAGAATCTTGCAAATGTAGCAAAGAAAGTTGAAGCTTTTCATCAATGAAATCCATTTAAACTAAGATGAAGAATAAAAAATCTTTGCTATAAAAAAAACAAGATCAAAGGAAGATAACATTCTACTTTCTATCTTTTTTTATAGATTATATATTTGTGATGCTAACAAGATGGAGAACCAACAACCAGCAGATTCAACTCAAGAGCTTTTATTTGCAGAATTATGAGATGAAACATTGCAATTGTGACAACCTTCAAGATGATAAAATTGAGATGAAGTTCCTCAAGAATGACTTGTCTTTCTTCGAATAAATAGCAAGATACAAAAACTTTGGTATCACAACCTTGAAAGAGACTCTTGTTGTTTGGTGATTTTATTAGAAGTAAGAACAACTCTTGACGGTGTTCCAAATGTTTTATTTGGAGGAAGTTATGAAGATTTCAACAACAATCAAATAACAAGGTGGTTTTTTTGCCTTAGTATGGGATACTATTGATGGCTGAGAGGGCCTATCAATCATCTTCGAAAAGAACAAAGATTAGAATATGTGGCAAATACAATTCGTTGCATCTTCGACTTTCTCAACATATGAAGACCGCTCTTTATAGAACTCATCCTTAGAAAGAGAGGTAATGTCATGGATATATATATTTATTCCAATAGTTATTTATATAATTACGTTGTCATGATGTAACACGACTAATAGGTGAAAGAGTATAGAGATTATTATAATTTAAGAGATCTTAGTTCAAATTATTAGAACAAATTATCTTAGAAATATAATTAATAGTCAAAGGGGTAGAAAAATTAAAATGTACCAATGTTGCCTTTTAGAGAGGTAACTTCTACTTACTTTGTAGCACCATAAGTAAGGCAAAATAAGGTAGATTGGAAAAATAAATGATATAGACATCTTTAGGAAGAAGTTAAGAGTAAATTCTAGAAAAAATTACTTAGAAAAACTAGATATTGATATCCAGAGAGGGCCGGTTATGAACCAAGGTTGAAATGAGACCCTGAGGTACAAAATCGAGTCTCGATGACGACTCCAAGTTTCTTTTGGAGATCGAAGAGTGAGATTTGATAGCAGACTGAATAGGCTTTCTATGAGTATTGATTTTGGATGATTTGGAATTGATATGACTTTATAAGAGCTTTTCAAAGTCAAGGTTTATTTCAGATGACTTGGATTTTATGAAATAAAATAAGATTTATATTTTGGGTGATTTCAAGAGTTTTGTAATAGATCTACAGGTGAAATTTTATGGGTTTATGGTTAAAATACCTCCATTGGACCTAAAATTCTACTTTCTAAGACCTTGACTCACTTAAACCTCAATATTCCTCAATTCAATTATTAGATCAAGCTCAAATTCATGACACATATTAAACATAACTTTGAGTTAAGATCAAGGGTTTATTCATTAGTTATTGAGATTTAAATCTATTATAGGAATTACTATGATTTGATTTAGGATTTGATTAGGATTTGGTTTAAGGTTTAAGGTTTGGATTAAGGTTTAGGATTTAGATTAGGGTTTAATTTTGGATTTAGGATTTAGGATTTAGGGTTTAATTTAGATTTAGGGTTTGATTTGGGATTTGGTTGGAGTTTATTTAGGATTTAGGATTTAATTAGGATTTGGTTAGGATTTGATTTAGGGTTTAATATTTAGTTAGGATTTGGTTTAGGGTTTAGGGTTAAGATTTTTGTTAAGGTTTGATTTAGGATTTAGGATTTATGATTTGATTAGGGTTTGATTTAGAGTTTAGGATTTGGTTAGGATTTAATTTAGAATTTAGGGTTTGGATTAGGGTTTGGTTTAGGATTTAAGATCTAGATTAGAATTTGATTAGGATTTGATTTAGGATTTGGTTAGGATTTGGTTTAGGATTTAGTTGGGGTTTGGTTTAGGGTTTGTTTAGGGTTTGATTCAGGGTTTAGGATTTAGTTGGGATTTGGT